GGTTGTACTGAAGTCGATCGACATGGCAAAGATTTGATCCATCTATGGCCTGCTCAAGTCTGTCCTCATTAGCATACACTGCAAGAAGCATAGCCTCCAAATCTTTGTCTTTGTCCCCTTGTTAGGACAGATAATGTTAAAATCTAGTTACAATTGATAATGAAGATCTGCCTGCACAGTGCACACAGGATTAACTATGGCAAACACAGCTATCCAGCCCCTCATAAACAAAGACAAACTGGTACATTTTTTCTTTGCTGTAGGGCCCAGAGTAGAGCATCTAAAATAAGGTAAGCTGACATTTTTAAATATTTTTGAAAGTTATGCTATGTGAATGGGGACAAATATAAAGTAGGTGTTATCCCAATTTGGCTGCAGAAGTGGAAATACACTTTAAGTTAGGAGATGTCACAGAAATTATAGTATATACAGTATCTCCCAGAAGTAAGCACACCCCTCACATTTTTGTAAATATTTTATTCTATCTTTTCATGTGACAACACTGAAGAAATGACACTTTGCTACAATGTAAAGTAGTGAGTGTACAGCTTGTATAACAGTGTAAATTTGCTGTTCCCTCAAAATAACTCAACACACAGCCATTAATGTCTAACCGCTGGCAACAAAAGTGAGTACACCCCTAAGTGAAAATGTCCAAATTGGGCCCAATTAGCTATTTTCCCTCCCCGGTGTCATGTGACTCATTAGTGTTACAAGGACTCAGTTGTGAATGGAGAGCAGGTGTGTTAAATTTGGTGTTATCTCTCTCTCTCTCTCATACTGGTCACTGGAAGTTCAACATGGCACCTCATGGCAAAGAACTGTCTGAGGATCTGAAAAAAATAATTGTTGCTCTACATAAATATGGGCCTAAGCTATAAGAAGATTGCCAAGACCCTGAAACTAAGCTGCAGCACAGTGGCCAAGACCATATAGCGGTTTAACAGAACAGGTTCCTCTCACAACAGGCCTCACCATGGTCAACCAAAGAAGTTGAGTGCACGTGCTCAGCGTCATATCCAGAGGTTGTCTTTGGGAAATAGACGTATGAGTGCTGCCAGCATTGCTGCAGAGGTTGAAGGGGTGGGGGGGTCAGCCTGTCAGTGATCACACCATACGCCGCACACTGCATCAAATTGGTCTGCATGGCTGTCATCCAGGAGGAAGCCTCTTCTAAGGATGATGCACAAGAAAGCCCGCAAACAGTTTGGTGAAGACAAGCAGACTAAGGTCATGGATTATGGAACCATGTCCTGTGGTCTGATGAGACCAAGATAAACCTATTTGGTTCAGATAGTGTCAAGCATATGGGACGGCAACCAGGTGAGAAGTAAAAGGATAAGTGTGTCTTGCCTACAGTCAAGCATGGTGGTGGGAGTGTCATGGTCTGGGGCTGCATGAGTGCTGCCGGCACTGGGGAGCTACAGTTCATTGAGGGAACCATGAATGCCAACATGTATTCCAACATAACAACCCCAACACACCTCCAAGATGACCACTGCCTTGCTAGAGAAGCTGAAGGTAAAGGTGATGGACTGGCCAAGAATGTCTCCATACCTAAACCCTATTGAGCATCTGTGGGGTATCCTCAAACGGAAGGTGGAGGAGAGCAAGGTATCTAACATCCACCAGCTCCGTGATGTCGTCATGGAGGAGTGGAAGAGGACTCCAGTGGCAACCTGTGAAGCCTCCATGCCCAAGAGGGTTAAGGCAGTCCTAGAAAATAATGGTCGCCACACAAAATATTGACACTTTGGGCCCCAATTTGGACATTTTCACTTAGGGGTGTACTCACTTTTGTTGCCAGCGGTTTAGACATTAATGGCTGTGTGTTGAGTTATTTTGAGGGGACAGCAAATATACACTGTTATACAAGCTGTACACTCACTACTTTACATTATAGCAAAGTGTAATTTCTTCAATTTTGTCACATGAAAAGATATAATAAAATATTTACAAAAATGTGAGGGGTGTACTCACTACTGTGAGATACTGTATAAAGCTAAAACTTTTTTTTGGTAGAATAGGGTAGGGAATGATTATGATCCCTATCGTTTTCAGCTTTTTTTACTGTCTCTGTCTCATCTGGGAAACACTCTCCAAAGTGACATAGATAGAAAATTGTTACCAGAACATATTTATCCAATGGAAGATTTCCCTCTTATTTTGTTTTGGTGACATTTCCAATTATCTTCTGTCCTTGTTACCATAGCCAATGGGAGAAATACAGAGGGTGGGATCTCTTGGTGGGGGGGGGGGGCACAATAATAACATCCCACTTTCAATCTAACCAAAAAAAAAGTTTGCCCTTACATGCACTTTAAAGTATAGCTAAAGGCTAAACGTTTATTTTTGTTTTGGATACAGAGGAGAAGGATTAGAATACCTATCAGTTTTTATTGCAGTATGTGCCCGTTAGGGAGAGTCGACCTCTCTATTCGTCCTGTTTACCATTATCATTGAAAGTGAAAGTAAAAGAAAACCCCAAATTTTGTGCTGTCCCCAGAAAGGTAATAGAGGGGAAATCTTCCAGTGGGAATACTAGTTCTGGTGATCTGGGGGTCCCCAAGGAATTCCCTTAATTTTCAGGGATTTCCTCCCACTTCCTGTTTGGCTATGTGACAGGATGTGAAAGTAAATCTCTGCAATGGGACACAGATGGTGAAAAAAATGTAACGGGTTATAACCTTTCCTTGCTCTATTCAAAATGAAAAAAAAAATAGCCCATAACTCTACTTTAAGTGGTTTCTCTTCAGTTAACCTGAATGAGTTCAGTAGATGGTGTATAACCTCCTTAATGTTTTGTATAACCAACATTAAATGTTCCATGAGCATTATCTTAATATTCATGAATGTTGAACAATATTCTTATCTTTCCTTATAAGTTCTTTCATGCTTGTTCTTGTCAATGAATTCCAGTCCTCCACTCAGAAACCTTTTAATGACTGTCACAAAGTTCAGTTGTTCCATGTACAACAGGTCACAGAGATTTCAATAGCTTAACATCTGACAAAGCCATCAAGTTCGCCAACTGAAACAAGCCCCATAATTGGAGTGGGTCAGAGCAAAGACAAAATATCACCGGTTCGTATTAAACTTCAAAAGATTCCAAACAAATGCTTGTGGACATGACGTCAGTTGGTTGCAGCCTTATAATTTCATTGTCTATTGTTCACAAGAATGTAGAATTCACAGTTAGCAAATTGCCCCAAGGGGTATAATTCAGTGTAAACGATGAGGCATTACTTGCAGTTGACTTCTAAATGCCGCGACAAATATTATGAATGCCTTTCACATTTATAATACTTCTGACCAGGCTCACGTAATACCCATCAGATCACTTCAAAGACGCTTCTATTCGTTTTCTAATTAAAGTCCCTGCCAAATGATTACATACTGTTCAAAGTGACAGAACCTTGCATAACTTGCATTCCCTGCTCTCAAAAGTTCTCATTTAAGGATTACAGTAAAGAATAATAAACAAATTGAAAGGAAAGGTAAAAATATGTTAAGGTATGTCGTAACTAATTCTCCTAATAGTATTCCCAGCTAACTGTGATTTAACGGGATTTACTTCTTATGCTTCAAAGTACAGCTTGAGGGAATATAGCAATCCAGCAGAAATGTAGTTACTTTAGCTGCCATGCAAATACCTCTGTGAATTGAGTCAAACAACAGTTTAATTATGCATGATCTGTACAGAAGTAGCATTGTTTGGAATTTGATTGGCAAGTTGTTATATAATAAAGCAGATTTGGCAGATTGATCAGCTAACTTTATATCCTATTTGTCAAGTCTGAGTTTCCATTTGATTCAGCTTGAAATGAGGGCTATATCAGATGACATATGTATTGTAGTGTAAAAAAGAAAGGTATTGTGGCTTAAGCGGAGAGTGTAGGCCGATTTATTTTCCTTTTATTTCCAGGTGCAAATTATTTTTCTTATACTGAAAAGTGAACTGCCCTGCAAAGACCCATCTGACCAGTTTTTATTCTATTTTACCTTTGTCTGAAAATTGCAGCACCTCATCACAAGCTTGGCAGAACCACTGGAGATGTGGAATGTTGTTAGTCAAAGGAAAAAGAGACACTGGGGTTGATTTATTAAAACGGGACAGTGCAAAATCTGGTGAAGCTGTGCATGGTGGCTGACCAGCTTCTAACTTCAATTAAGTTCAATTAAGCTTTGACAATAAAACATGGAAGCTGATTGGTTTCTATGCAGAGTTGCACCAGATTTTGTAGTTTTAGTAAATCAACCCCACTGGAACTTTTGTTTGAGTATTGCTGCCTTACAGAAGATTTCATAGCAGCACGTATGTGAATAATGCAGAAGGAACTGTAGCAGAATATTTTAGTTAAACCATCTTACAACCGGGCTATAGCCAAATGATGGCTACAGCGCGGTTGTCCAGTTCTGGGAGGGCATTATATGACGTCCTCCCAGAACACGCCCCAGTGATCGCTGTGTCCTAAGGACACTGATGATCACATGACTAGGTAAAAGGCCAATCACAGCATCCTTTTACCACGTGATCAGTTGTGTCCAATGAAACAGCAGATCACAAAGTAATTACAGTTGCTGGTTATCGGCAGTACTTTCCTCACGCTGTAACACGATAACCGGCAAATGTCACAGAGGGCACCCGCACTGATAATCAGAGCACTGATGATCAGTGCCGTGATCATCAGTGCTGCCAATCAGTGCAATCCAACCAAAAAAACCCAGTGGCGAATAAATGCCCACACTGAAGATGCCCGCCTCCTGGAATACAGGACGGCCGGTGAAATGGACTGCAGGGGACACACCGCGGGACAGGTAAGTAGCTGTTTTTTAAAAGTCAGCAGCTACAGTTTTTGTAGCTGATGATTTTATTTTTTTGACAGGGTAAGTGGAACTCCACTTTAAAGAGTAAGCATTCTTTACTAAAAGTAACACAGCATGTTAATGTACCGAGGATGCTATAATGTATAGCCATGTTTTTTTGGCAAAAGTCATTAACCTCCCTGATGGTATTCCCGAGTGTAGCTCAGGGTAAAGTTTCAGTACCACAAGCAGTAACCCCGAGCTACACTCGGACTTACCATGTAGCGCCGCTCCGGCATCTGTTCTTCACATACCTTGTCCTGTGCTCCCGCGATGTCCCTGCTGCAGTGTCCCCTGTAATGTCCTCCGGCCGATGCCGGCGTCTGTCTTCTGGGTTCCGTCCCCTGCGAGCGTCGGGACGTACGGGGGACGGAACAGCGGGAAATTTGAAAATGACAAAAAGTGACATTCACTAAATACACTAAAATCACATAGTATAACATTACTGTATCAACCCATTTCACATACATTTTGTCCCTAGTGCTTTGTCCTGTGCCCTGCCTGCATTTTTACTGTTCTTTCTGCCTGGAAACGGAGAAATGTCCATGGTGTCCAAAAAGTGTCCCTGTAGGTCAAAATCAGCTAGAGAACAACATAGTAAATCAGAACCACTTGCAGAATTGAGTGATAATGATTCGTGGGGAAATTCATCATCAGACACTGAAAACGATTTTGCGACTTTGCTCAGTGATGTGCGAACTTGGCGCTATATTTCAAATTTCAGTTGTTTTTGGTTTGATTATATTATTGAATTAAATTTATTATTATTATTATTATTATTTTTTATGATTATTTATTAAATTATAATTTATGATTTCGTGTTTCAAATTTTATCATACCCGGGATGTTTACTAGACTCTTGTTCGGACAGATTTCAGTGAGTTATTCCTATGAATTACAGGCCTACAATAAAAAAAAGACATATTTCCATGCAAAAAAATGTACCGCTTTGAGCACAGAAATATGGACATAATCAGACCGCTAGGGAGGTTAAGGGTGAACGTATTTACTATGCCTAAGCAATACAGCTTAAAGTTATTGTAAACCTTAATTTTAATTTATTTTTAATAATAGAGATGTACTTACCTGCTCTGTGCAATGGTTTTACACAGATCAGCCCCGATCCTCTGCTTCTGGGGTCTTCTGCCGGTGCTCCTGGCTCCTCCTCTTCTGCGAGTGACTCCCTAGAAGCCACTTCCTTGGGGACACTCATGCAAGTTCGATCCCAACTATAGACACAGACAGTGCAGCTTGTCCTCGCTCCTGCTCCCTTCTCACAGAATTTGATTGACCCCAGCTGCTATCAATCTGCGCTGTCAGGAGCCACTCTTGGGCACAGTGCCGGATTGAGATCGTGCTCTGGTAAGTATAAGGGGGGGGGGGGTGATCCTTTGGCACAGAAGTTTTTTTTTACCTTAATGCAAGGAATGCATTAAAGTGTTTCTAAACCCACAACAGTAAAATCAGTCTGTATATACAGTAACGCATGCTTGTTATACTCACTGTGGAACCTAAAGGGTTAATCCTCTGCTTTGTGTATAAAGGTTGTTTGATTCTTTCTTCTCTGCCCCTACTCTTGTTGAAATGACCACCTGATACAGACTGAATCCGTAGTCACATGCACATGCTCAGTTTGGTGTATATTGCTAGATAGGTTTTATTTTCTTGGGAGAGTGCATGTGATCAGCACAGGGCCAATCAGCACTGTCCAGACAGAGGTCAGGGGTTTCACATCCTCCTAGAGCAGAAAGGAAACTCCTCTTACAAGCTTTAACCAGTGCTCTGCTGAAGTAACCAGACTGCTCTAACTGCTGATGAGAAAAAGTATTTAGCAGTTTATATTTGCTAAAATAATTGCATTTCCATGTTGTGTGTACTGTGGGAGACCAGATACAGTGAATGCAGGGTCCTGGGTTTAGTAACACTTTAAGGCAAAAACCTTGAGCCTTTATAACCACTTTAAGGTGAAGTGGAAAAATAATAAACGTATGTGAATACTTAACCACTTCCCAACCGCACTATAGCTGAAAAGACGGCTACAGCGCAGCTGTCTAGTTCTGGGAGGAAGTCCAACCACAGCGGCCTTTTACCACGTTATCACCCGAGTAAATACAGTTGCCGGTTATCAGCTGTACTTTCCTCACGCTGTCACAGCATGAGGAAAGTACTGCCGATAACTGGCAATTGTCAGCGAAGAGATCTGCAGTGATGATCAGTGCCCAGCAGTGCCGCCCAACTGTGCCACCCACCTGAGCCCATCAGTGCTGCCCACCTGTGCCCATCTGTGCCACCCACCTGTGCCCATCAGTGCCACCCACCTGTGCCCTGCAGTGCCACCCACCTCTGCTCAGCAGTGGCACCCACCTGTGCCCAGGAGTGCCTAGCCATGCCACCCATCTGTGCCCAGCAGTGCCACCCACCCTGTGCCCAGCAGTGCCCCCCATCAGTGACCATCAGTGCTGCCCATCAGTTCTGCCTATCAGTGCTGCCTATCAGTGTAGCATTATCAGTGCCAGCTCATCAGTGCCACCTATCAATTCCACCTATCAGTGCCTCCTATCAGTGCCCATCAGTGCTGCCTATCAGTGCAGCCTCATCAACGTACATCAGTGAAGGAGAAAAATTACCTGTTTGCAAAATTTTATAATAGAAACAAAGAAAAACTTTTTTTTTTTTTAATTTTTTGCTTTGAAAATGCGTTATGTGGAGCCTAGTCGGTGACGTTACGCCGCTCGGGCCACATGGAGGCCAGGCGGCCATCTTTATTCCTGTTATTTGCTGATGTGGATCCTTGTTTTGGTGCCCTATACTTATCATTGTGAGGTTTTCCATGGTGGATGGCATAGCATCTATGATACTTGGATCGTGACCCCCTGTTGGATGGATGAGTAATATCACCTGTAGAGAGACGATACAGTGATCACCTGTCTTGCTGCTGGTTTTCCAGATAATCTCCTGATTCTTGCCTTTCCAGACCCAGATGACCAGGAGTGGTCAGACAACTCAAAGGCACATATATATGCGCTATCTGGTTAGTGCATTATTTACTCATTCACAACCACAGGAGTCACTGATTTCACCATTGTTTGAATTTTGGAAGTTATTTGATTATATGTCACTTACTGCACTTTAAACGTCATTACCATAGACGTTTGACACGTCATTATTTTAGCGCTCCAGAGCGCACTTATATGTATTTATGTCACATTATTGCTTATTTATACCTTTTGAACATAGCACTGCATTTTTTTCACAATTTTCACATCAAAGGTTTAGAGGTTATAGCTGTATGCCAGCTGCTCATTTCTCACTGAATCCTAGCGCTCGTATATCCCCACGTTTTACTACATGACCGCACAATTGTCATTCAAATTGCAACAGTGCTGAAAGCTGAAAATTGTCCTGGGCAGGAAGGGTGTATAGGTGCCCAATAGGCAAGTGGTTAATCTGGTTTCACCTCCTGTGAGCATGTTCCTTAACAGCACATTACATGTGCACTACCACACCTGATTGCCCCTCATGCCTAGTACACACGATTAGCAAATTGGATGAAAAATACAACTTCAGAGCAATCGTCTGACAATCTGGTCTTTAGTACTCAGCTTTTGAAAGCCGATCAGGACAGTTCATGTGAAATTATCTGAAGGAACAAGCACAAAAGTTTTACTCGTACGATAACAAAATGAATAATTTTTGTTTAATTGATACAGTATTTGTCCATAAAAAAATTGAGTGACCAAGACCTCACATGCTCGGAAACGAAAGAATACATTACAAAACAAGACAATACGTTACATCACTTCTGAAGTTGTATTCTGTTTTAAGAGAATTTTCGTACGTTTAGTAAGCTATCCTTTTTCGATATGAGACTAGCATGCAAAAAATTTACAAAAAAACCAGATGATCATTTGTCCGATATTCTCATCATGTTTACAAGGCTGTCCCTCTACTATATAGATGATTTTAGAGGCTTATACCAAGTCAAATACAGATATTTTCACTGACTAAATTTCAAATTACAATAAATTATTACATAGCAAATATTGTATATAGCAGCATTTACTGGTGTATTTTATATCTGGCTGAACCTAAGCTTTAAATTGAAAGTTGTAAAGGTTTTTATTTTAAATTAAAACCTTAGTTAATTGTTAACCAAGGCTATAGCTTCCAGTTTTTAGGTTGCATGGAATTCAGCTTTAAGTCTAAAAGATTTTCATATTTATGCAATATGGATGTCCAACAGAATGTCTAGTCCTTATTTGCACAAGTTCTGCAAAATGACAGAAAGCATAAAAATTTCAACTTGTCGTCATCTTATCATGCACGACTTTAACACATAGGGCTAACAACAAAAAATCATAAAGCAGAGGTTATACCGCCAGTATACTTACACCTTTTGTGAGTGAGACTTAATAACTGAATTCTAATGCATTACATTTCTGCTTTTATGATAGGCACTGAAAATGCTTACAAAACAGTTTTAGGCTGACAAGTTAAAAGAAAGGTTGTAAAAGAATATGAGCTGTGTAAATTAAAAGCCCACGCTGCTCCTGTTACTATAATAAAAATAAGCAATTAGCATCCTTTCATAATCCGGTTAATTCATCCGCTATTCTTTTGGACAGGCTCACAAAGAACCCTTTTGTTATTATACTCAATAATGAATATAAGAACAAGTGTTTGGGAAAAAGCAGTTGTAGTTTTTGTGCCATAAGGCAATCAATACCAGGGTCACAAAAGTTGACCCTTCTCAGGAGGTCATGCCAAGGAGTCCATACTTGATTAGTGTGTACTGTAACCTGACCACAGCAAAGCAGAGCACTTACTTCAGTCTTGTTCTCCTAAACATGGCTAAGGAACCATAATATCATGACAAAATAAGGAAAACCTAGGCTGAACACAGTGCTCTGACATTATTGTTCCATCTGCCCAGAGAAGCCACTAACAAGAACTGGTAGCCCATCTCAAAGCCTTTAAGATGCTGTAGGCATCCTTTCTCAAAATGACGAATGAAGCAAATGCATCACTAACTTGTATTAAAGTGTTACTAATCCCAGGACCCCTGCATTCCCTCTGTCTGCTCTCCCACAGTACACAGAACATGGAAATGCAATTATTTTAGAAAATATAAACTGCTAAATACCTTTTCTCATCAGCAGTTAGAGCAGTCTTGTAACTTCTATCAGTGTCCAGCCCAGCACTAGCTAAAACTTGTAGGAGGAGTTTTCTTTCTGCTTTAGGAGAATGGAAATCTCCTGACCTCTGTCTGGACATTGCTGATTGGCCCAGTGCTGATCACATGCACTCTCCCAAGAAAAAAAAAACAACCTCTCTAGCAATACACACCAAACTGAGCATGTGCATGTGACCACGGGTTCAGTCTGTATCAGATGGTCATTTCAACAAGACAAAGGGTAGAGAAGAAATGTACACAGTACACACAACATGAAAATGCAATTATTTCTGAAAA